CATGGTGTTCTGCAGTTGAGGGCAGTGGCTGCTTGGGCTCCCGGAGTGACTGCCGCTCTGATCTCCCCGCCCAGGATGGCGAGGTCATTGGCATCAACACGCTCAAGGTCGCAGCCGGCATCTCCTTCGCCATCCCCTCGGACCGCATTGTGCGCTTCCTCACAGAGTTCCAGGACAAGCACGTCAAAGGTAGGGCACCCCCAGGGGCTGGCTGCGGCCAGGGACGCTGGGCCAGGGCCAGGGCCAAGGCCCCACAGCCTCCAGCTGGGGCCACCCCCCCCCTTCAGCGCTGTGTGCCCTGGCTGCCTGCTGACCAGCTCCGAAGGCCTGAGACCCTGGGAGAGCTCAGCCTCAACCTCTTTCACACCTCCCACCCCCGCCCCTCACTTCAAGGCCACGGTGACCCCTTCCCCCTGCAGACAGGCTGGAGAGCTCAACCTCACCTCCTACCTCTAACTGCCTGAGCTCCCTGGGCCCCCCTTGTCTGGGCTGCGCCACTGCTGACAGAACACCGTCCGCCCTTCCACCCACCCGTCCGCCCATCCCTAAGTCCTCCCTCTTTCAGCTCTGGCCGTGCAGACTGCCAGCTGGGGTAGCTTGTACTCTAAGGGAGTGGGGCCCAAGCCCCTGATCCTTGGCAGTCCCTCCTCTCAGCCTGCATCTCCTCACCCCGCCCACGCAAGGATGTCCAACCCACCCTGCCCACTCCTAGGTGGCGCGAGTATCCATCTGGGAGAAGCCTTGACAAGGCACAGGTGACGCCCCCCAGTAAGGGCATGCTAATTGCCTTCCTAAAGTCAGTGGTCACAGCCGCTCTGCAGAGAAGGGCCACGCTTCTCCCACCCTCAGGACCATTCCTGGCAGCCCCCGCCCACCCCCCCTTTTCAGCTATAGTGACCTTCTCCCTGCCACCACTTTGCCTCCCATGCCCACTCCCCGGCAGAGCTGGCTAGACCTGACTCAGCTCTGATACTCACACCTTCAAATTGCTTCCGTATCTCCTCCCAGCCCTCTCACCAGCAGCTCATTGAGAGCAGGGGGGCCTCTGCATGCTTGCCCCATCCTCCACCACTCTGCCAGCCAAGCTCACGACCCCAGTACAGAAAAGACCGGTGCCATGAGGACTGGTTACACAAAGAACTGCTGTTGAGGACTCCGTGCGGTTCATCAGTGCCCGTTCTGTGAAAATAGCCTGGAGCCAGGGTAGAGCCAGTCTTCCCTAAATAAGCTGAAGGCTCCTGTTGGTCAGAGGGGCATCTAACCACTTGAGCCCTTTTCCCCTTGGCTGCTAGGAAGCTCAGAACTTGACCCAGGGCTGTACTTTTGAACCTGTCATAGCCTTGCTTCTTTTTCTAATAACTGAGCATTTCCAGTGTAATTGTCTCCTGCTCCAGGGGTGCCCTTGACTTGGGCCACCTTCCTGGAAGTCAGCAGAGCTTCACTTTGCACAAATTGAGCTGTGAGGTGACTGTTTTGTTGGAAACGGGATGATAGCATCCTTGCGCTTTCTGCCTCTCTTCCTCTGCTCTCACAGACAGGAACCCACCAGGGGCCAGGGTTCACTCCTTTGTTATACAGGGACTGTCCCTGTGAGCACTGACCTCACCCCAGACCCCCCCAGAGCGGTCCACTCCCCCAGGACATGTGGACTAATTGAAGTGCCCGGTAAATCTTGGCTGAATGACCAAATCTATAATTTAAAATCCTTCTGAAGTTGGCTGGTGTTCACGTTTGCTTTTTTTTTTTTTAATAAAAATATCAAACTATCCAAACCCAGTTAATCTAAAGTTCTTTAACACAAACCATCTTTTTAGTCAATCAAGGAAATGTTAGTTAAGGTTCAATTTCTTGTTCCCGCCTAGGGGTTGGGGTGCAGAGGCCTCTGGGGGCTTTCAAGGTAAGAGGGGCCACCATGCTGGTTCAGGAGGGCTGTAGCGTTGCCTTGGCCTGCGGCCCCAGGAGGCTCGGGGGTTCAGCCAGCCTTAGGACAACAGCGTACCCCCACAGGGGTGTTTGAGTTACTAGAGCTGAGCCATGAGGGGTGTCTGCCCCTCTGTGAACTGTGGGCGAGGGCTCCTCAGTGGTCTGGGCTGGGGGTGGGAATCCCCATCGTCTCCTGATGGGGTGGGGTGGCCTCTGAGGCCGAGGGACAGTTGCAGGGAGGCATTGCGGGGGACACTGAGAAGAAAGGGTCCTAATGCCTATCCCCTGGTCTCAAAGCCACACGTGCCAGCGTCCTGAATCCTTCTCAAATAGGGGGGGGAGCAGAGGAGGCGGGGGCAGGGCCCCAGGAAGGCGTGAGGAGGGGAGCGACCTGTGTTCTGGGCCCCGTGGACCCGGCGCTTTGCTGGGTGCTCTGCCCGCCTCCCCCAGTGTCCCTTCTTCAAGGTGTCAGAGGCTTCAGTGTCCTTGACACCCGAGCGCAGTCTGGGCTCCTTCCCAGCCCTGTGACCGGGACGTGTTACCACCTCGGCTTTCTCATCTGCACAGTGGGTCTAGGTTCAGGGGCAACAAGTATGACCCCTGGAGGCCAGCAGGGGCAGGGAGGTGGGCTGGTGGTTCCGTGCTAAGTGCTGTGGGGCCATGGGCAGGAGCGACAATGACTGAAAAGAACCCAGCTGGCTGCAGGGCAGGGAGTCCACTGCGGGGAGCTGAGAGGAGATGCCGCGTGTGCCCCTCCCGGGGACCCAGTGCAGGCAGCCTGGGAGGAGTGGTTGGGTCTGGGATCTGTTTTGAACTTGGAGCCAACAGAACTTGCTGGAAGGTGGAATGTAGGATGTGAGTGAGGGACTGGAGCCCGCGTGACAAGGCCCGAGCACCCGGGAGCAGAGGGCATTTCCTGGGACGGGGGCCCTGATGCGAATCAAGGGTGAGCCCTGATGCCCAGAAGCCCCGCGTCCGTCAGCTTCTCTCTTGCTGTTGGTTTTGGCTTTTTTATTGAGGTGAGATTCACGTCCTGTGCAGCTAACCACTCTAAAGTGCTGCTCCCTGGGCTGTAGTGCACTCAGCATGTCGTGCAGCCGTCCCTCCCTTTTGTATCACTGCCCCTGATGCTTGCCTCACCTCGGGTCCAAAGTGGTTCTGTGACAGGTTCAGAAAGAAACAAGTCAGGACGTCTGACCTCCCTCGGGCCAAATTTCCAGGCTGGCGTGTCAGACACTCGCCATTTAGGTGGTTTTCCATCTAATGACCTAAAAATTTCTGCTGACCTAGAAATTCACCCAGGCCGCCCTGCAGGCCCCAGCAGCCAGTGTTGGAGAGCCTGCGTGTGGGCGGGGCCTGCAGGCTTGGGTGGGGAGGGGGCTTCTGCTGCCCAAGGACTCCGATCTGACCCCAGGCTGCACTTCTGCCCTGCCAGGGCGCTGCCCAGGCACAAGCACGGCAAGCATGTTTCTTGCTCATGAGAAGCATGACCTTGGGTTTGAGCGAAGCTTACCAGTGTCCGGTACCCATGTCAGGAGCAGGACAGAGGGCCAAGGACTCTGTCCCCAGGCCTTTCCCCTTTCCTCCGAGGACCTCACCTGGTCTTGTGGATGTAAACGCCATCTAGAGAGTGCGTCCCCAAGTTTACATCTCGGGCTGGACCCTCTCACCAAGCTCTAGACCCTGATGTACTGCTTGTCAGACATGTCCACTCCCTGTGCGTCCCTGTCGCCACGCCCACCTTCTCAGTTACGTCAGCTCCAGCCTCAGGATTTCCCACAGCTGCACCCAGTCCATCAGCCAGCTCTGTCGGCCCCAGCATGGGGCCTGTCTCTCCTGTACCCGCCCTGTCACCATCTCCAGTTCCTCTGCCTGGTCCTGCCACCAGGGCCACTCAGCATGGTTATTGCCTCCCCGCTGCTCCTGAGCCATGGCCCTTCCCCCCACAGTCCCATCCCCAGGCCCAGGACTCCTTTCAAAGTTCAGAACTCATTGTGTCTCTGCTGGACACTGGCCACAGCTCCACCTCCCTGGAGATAAACGCCTAAGCCTCCCCGTCCACCAGACACACCGGCCAGGCCTGCTGCTGTCTCTGACCTCACCTCCCACCTGGTGCCATCCATCAATCTTGAGTGAAATGCCTGTTTAAATATTTTGCCCATTTAAAAAATTGGGGTTGTTTGTGTTATTATTGTTAAGTTTTGAGAGTTCTTTATACAGGATAGGAGCCCTTTCTTGGATAAATGAATGCAAACATTTCCTCCTGTGGCTTGTCTTCGCATTCTCCTAACTGTCTTTAAAGTGCAGAAGTTTAGTAAATTTTGATTAAGTCTGATTTACCAATTTTTTTTTCCTGGATTGTGCACTGGTGTATCTAAGAAGTCTGCTCACTGAAGGTCAGAAAGATTTCCTCCTCCATTTTCTTTTGGAAGTTTTACTTGCTGAGGGTTTAGATTTAGGACTGTGATGCATTTTGATTTAATTTTTTTAAAAAAATACTGTAAGTATGGATCAAAGTTCTTTTTCTTTTTTTACTTTGGATAGTCAGTTGTTCCAGCACCATCTGTTGTCAAAGACTGTCCTTTCTCTCCTGAATTGCCTTTGCAACTTTGTCAAAAATAAAATGACCATATTCTGTCCCACTTGTCTGTTTGTCTGTCTTTGTGCCAACCTCACACCATCCTGACTAGTCAGGTGGTGTCAGCCCTCCAACTTTGTCCTTCTTCTTCAAACTTGTTTTTGTTCTTCTAGAGCCTTCGCATTTCCACATGAATTTTAGAACCGGCTTGTCAATTCCCACCCAAAAAACCCCTGCTGATGTTTTGACTGGCATTGCATCAAATCTACCCTCAATTTGGGGAGAATTGTCGTTTCGACAATATGGAATCTTCTGACCCAGGGACACAGACCGTCTCCCCATCATTTACATCTTCCTTGGGTTTCCCTAGGTGAACAGATCTTTCCCAACTTCCATCAGATTTATTCCTAAGTATTTCATCATTTTGATGCTATAACAAATGGTATATTTAAATTTTTTTTAATTTCTGATTGTTACGAACTTCATGTTGATCCCGCAACCTTGATAACTCTTGTAGCTTTTTTGTAGAGTCCATCCAATTTTCTACATAGATGATTATGCAGTCTGTGAATAAAACCAGTTTTACTTCTTCCCGTCCAGTCTGAATGCCTTTTTTTTTTTAATTGCCTGGCTAGCCCCTCCCATAAATACTGAATAACGATGGGGAGAGTGGACATCTTGCCTTGATCCTGATCTCAGGAAGAAACCTTCAGTCTTTCACCATTAAAGCTGATGTTAGTAAAGGTTTTGCATAGGCGACCTTCATCAGGTTGAAAACGTTCCCTTTTATTTCTAGGTTTTATCATGAGTAGATGCTAGATTTTGCCAGGTGCTTTTTCTGCATCTTTTGAGATGATGGTTTTCCTTTTCATAGTCTGTTAATGTGGTAAATTGCATTGGTTGTTTTTGAATGTTAAGCTATCCTTGCCTTCCTGGAACAAACCTCACTTAGTCACAGTGCATTCTCTTTTTGATACGTTGTTGCATTTGATTTGCTGGAGACCATTAAAGGTTTTGTGGAACTACCTGCACGAAGCATATCGATGTCGTTTTCTTTTCTGGCTTTGGCATCAGGAGGATGAGGTGAGAAGCTGTTTAGGAAGAACGCGCCCCTTGCGTCTCCTCTAATCTCAGCTTCCTGCTTCTCTTGCGACACTTGCGGTCACCAGCGTGCCCACACCACACCACGCCGGTGCCCTACAATTTAACTCAGCTCTGAGATGCGGCGGACCCCACAGGTGAAACAGGCTCAGTCCCACAAGACTGCCCCCTGCCCTCAGATGCCAGTCACAAGTTCGGGTTGTCCCCTGTGCTTCTGACCGACTGGCTATAGATCTCAGGTTCCCATGTACCCCTCCTGGGTTTCGATCATTTGCTAGAGCAGCTCACAGAACTCAGGAAAACAGTTTACTCCTAGATCGTTGGTGTCTTATAAAACGATACGACTCAGGAACAGCCTAATGGAAGACATGCATGATAAGACAAGGTGTGGGGAGGGGCAGGGAGCGCCCAGGCCCTCTCCGGGACACCACCCTCCCAGCACCTCCACGTGTGCACCAGCCAGAAGCTCTCTGAACCCGCCTCAGGCTTTTCTGAAGGCCTCATTACATGAAGGCGTGATGGGTTAAGCCATTAGCCATGGGTGGTTATTTTAACTTCCAGTCCCCCTCCCCTCCCTGGAGATTGGTTCTCCTGGCAACCAGCCCCCATCCTTAGGGGCTTTCCAAATGTCACCTCATGAGCATAAACTCAGATGTGGTTGGATGGAACTTGTCATGAATAACAAAGACCCGTTTCTCCTTCAGTTCCGGTTCCGGAGCTGTTCCAGGAGCTGGTAGCAAAAGATGTTCCGGAGCTCTCATCACTTAGGAAATCACAAAAGCGTTAGGATCTGTGTGCTGGGAACCACGGGCGAATACCAGAATATACGTTTCTTAGTATAAATCCCAGCACCCCAGCAGCAGCCACTCATTTTCAGTTTTCTAGGGGAGTTTGTGTAGAATTGATATGATTTTTCCTTAAACATTTGGTAGAATTCTCCTTTGGGACCCTCTGTGCCCGATGTTTCTTTGTGGACAGAATTTTTAACTACAATTTCAATTTCCTTAATAGATATAGGGCTAGTCAGGTTATGTATTTCTTCTTGAGTGAGATTTGGTAGTTTGGAAATTTCAAGAAATTTGTCCATTTTAACTAAGTTGTCAGATTGGTTGGCATCCAGTTGTTCATAATAGTCTCTTCTTATCCTCTTAATACCTGTTGAATCTGTAGTAATGTCACCTTTCTCCTTTCTGATATTAATAACTGTGTCTTTTCTCTTTTTTCCGGTTAGTTTGCTAAAGGCTTACCAATTTTATTGCTCTCAAAGAATCAGCTTTTTTCATTTATTTTCTCTATTGTATTTCTGTTTTCTGCTTCATTGACTTCTACTCTTTATAATTTGCCTTTTTCTGCTTATTTTGAGTTTCATTTGATCTTCTTTTCCTAGTTTTTAAGGTGAGAGCTGAGGTCATTGATTTGAGACCTTTCTGTTATCAGCACTTTAGTACTATTAATTTCCCTCGAAGTACTGATTTACCTACATCCCACAGACTTTGATACATTGTATTTTCATTTTTATTTAGTTGAAAATACATTCTAGTTTCCCTTTGGGCTTCCTCTTTGAAGGTGAGTTACTCAGAAGTGTGTTATTTCGTTTCCAAGTTGTTGGGAATCTTGTAGATACCTTTCTCCCTCTGATTTCTAGTTTAATTCCACTGTGGTCAGAGAGCATACCTTTAGGATATGAAATTTTAAAATGTACTAAGACTTATTTCATGGTTCTGAATATGTAAATGTTATTTCTGGGTCTAGGACACCAGCGAAGTCACAGGCTAGAGCAGCTGGGGGAAAACACGTGTCACCTTAGAAGGTTGTATGTGTAATGCTCCAACCAGAGGGCCTGGCGCACAGTGCTCATGGGGCATTGTGGATTAATATTATTATTTATGGAGAAGGCAGGGGGATGTCATGAGTTCAGACCTGAGCAAGTTTAGGGAACCTGCCGGATGGAGACTGGAGAGAAGGGCACCGCTGGCCACTGGGGGCTGGGTATGGCCCTCAGAGGGGGGCAGATGTTGGAGCTGATGTGGTTGGATGGTGCCTGAGGGTGAGGATGGTGTGAAGCCACAAGATTGATCCAGGACATCTTTCAGCCTTAAGAGTAGCCAAGAGGAGAGAGGCAGCTCTGGGTGCCTGAGCACATGGGGGCCGGGCTGGCCTCACTAGGATGGCTTTTGCTGCTTTCTGCTCCTGTGGGTGAATTTCTGCCCCCACCCATGCCTCCTGGAGGTTCTAACCGAGTCCTATTGTGTTCTGTTTCCAGATTGGAAGAAACGTTTCATTGGCATACGGATGAGGACTATCACACCGAGGTGAGTGTCTAAAGGACACTGTCCCCTGCTGCCCCCCCATTGTTGCCCCTCACCTCGGCCCTCCTGCCAGACCCAGGCCCAGCCGTGCCCGGCCACCTGCAGGTGTGAGCCAGATGGATTCAGGCTTCTGAGCCTCTGCCGAGGCCAGTCCCTCACCCTGGGATGCCTTTCTCCCCTCTGTCTGATATAATCCTTCGGCTCCCTCAGGACTTCATTCAGGTGCTCCCTCCTCCAGGAAGCCCCCTAGATTAGTGTCTTGTGGCAGCCACAACAAATGACCACAAACTTGGCTTAAAACAACAGAAAGTCATTATCTCACAGTTCTGAAAGCCAGAAGTCCAAACTCAGCAGGGCTGTGCTCCCACTGAGGCCTCTGGGGGGAGCCCTTTGGCTCTTCCAGCTTCCAGTGGCTCCAGGTGTTGCTTAGGTTGTACCCACATCACTCCGATCTCTGCCTCTGTCTTCACATGGCCTCCTTCTTTCTGTGTGTCCGTGTCCAATTCTCCACCTTCTTTGACTTACAAAAACACCAGTCATTGGGTTTAGGGCCTATCCTAAGTCAGGATGGTCTCATCTAGAGATCCTTAACCAGTTACATCTGTAAAGACCCTATTTCCAAACAAGGTCACGTTCTGAGGTTCTGGGTGGACGTGAATTTTAAGGAGACACCATTCTGCCTCCACAGGCTGCTCGCGTGGGAGCAGGTGCCTCCTCGTGGCGTGCATAGCCGTGCTTCCCTCCTCAGCGTTGCATTGGTCCCGTGGTGCTAGTATTGCTTGCTTGTGCCCCAGTCCCCCTTGATCAGAAGCTCCTGGGGATTGAGGACTGTGTCCTGCTTATCCCTCTGCTCCACCCCTGTACCAGGTCTACAGCAGAGCGGGGCCTGGGAACACTGAATGAGTGAAATAAAGGAGGGGGTGGGGAAGAGGAGGGAGACAGAGGAAGTAAGGGAGCCAGGGAGGGGAGAGAATGCCAAGTTAAGCTCAAGGATTTGAAGAAGAAAGAAGTCACTGCATTGGGGGGTTCTGGGAAGAACTAGGGCTCAACTGAGGACATCCTCACACCCATGGAGTCCCTAAAAGGACAATTCTTCCTGTTTCAGCAACTGTTAGTCTAGGGATTAAATCTAAAGACAATTTGTAATCAAGACCAATATACCAATTTATCTTTAACAATTTTTTTTTTAATTGGGGAATTGGGAGAGGGAAACAGCGTTGGGGAATTGGGGAAGGGGAACAGACAAGTTGCTGTCCTTTGGTTCTTCAGTCTAGTTGTGGAGGATGTCACTTCACTAGCCCATGTTGGTATTATCATTGCGCTCTTCCCGGGTGAGGGAGATTGGTCACCGGCCTCTGGACGGCCGCTCACAGCGGCTCTTGGCAGCTCACACTGGCTGCAGTCACTCATGCTGGCTGCTGGCCACACACAGTAGCTTATGGCAGCCCACTGCAGCAGGGGCTGCAGCCTATGCCGCTGCCAGCTACTCACAGCAGCCCAGCTCCAGGTTGAGCTGTTGTTCACCATCTTAGCTGTAGAGAGGGCAGTGTCACTGGCCCTCATGTGGGATCCGAACCGGGGCCCTGCTGCTCAGAGCTGGCGTCCCAAGCCAGCTCTTAACCAACGCACCACTCAGCCGGCCCATACCAATTTATCTTTGGTATGTGTTCTTTATTTGTCTGTTTCATCCATCCATCCATCCATCCATCCAACCATCCAGTCTTCTGTCTATCCATTCCATGACTCACCATTCATCCCTCCTTCCATCTATCCATTTATCCATTATTCCTTCCTTCCTTTCATCTATCCCTCCATCGTCCACCCACCCATCCATCCTTCCATCCATCCATCCATCCATCCATCCATCTAGCCATCCATACCACTTGTCAAATCTTCTGTCTGTCCATTCCATCATTCACCCAGTTTGTTCATCTCTCCTTCCATCTTTCCATTTATCTATCATTCCATCCTTCTATTCATTCCATCCATCCATCCATCCATCCATCCATCCATCCATCCATTTGATCACCCATCCCTCTACCTCCCTTCTTATTTCTCACCCACCCTCTCACCCCACCTCCCACCTACTCACCACCCCCTCTCCACACGTCTCACCATGCACCTTCACTAAGGTTTCTCTTGAGAAGCCCAGGTTGAGTGGGGACACAGACTCTTGTGACAGCCCGGTAACAGCCCAGCTAGTGAGTGGCAAGACAGGGCAGCGTGCGAGCCCAGAGGAGGCTCCTCATCTGGCCTGGGGGGAGGGGTGCAGGGGCAGCTCTGTGCCTTCAGGGCTCCAGAGAAGGCCTTGGCTGTGCAACTGTCTTTTCAGTTTGGTGGAAGAACTAAAGGCCAGCAACCCAGACTTCCCGGAGGTCGGCAGTGGGATTTATGTGCAAGAGGTTGTTCCAAATTCACCGTCTCAGAGGTAGGCTCTCCTGAGGAGGCAGGGGGACTGGATGGGCGGCCGTCGGACACCCTGGTGGGCATGGGGCCTGGGCTGGGCCTGCTTCACTGACCTTGGCTTCCTGGCGAGACATGGTGTGGAAGTGGCCAGTGGGATTCTGGCCTGTCCTGTAAGCCAGGGGCAGGCTGGAGAGATGAAGTTTCTCTTAGAGCATTGGTCATGCCCTTTCATTGGCCATTCATTGGCCTGAATGTCCCCTATCCTCAGGGGAGACAGAGCCGTAGAGGCCCAGCCTAAGAACCAGCCTGACTCTCACCAGCCCAGTGGGCCGGCCTGGGTCTTTCTGTTTCCTCATCTGCATAATGCACATGATTCAGCCTACTCTTTCTATTCTGGGAGAATTTTTCAAGGTCAAGTGCTGGAGAATGTTGACTGTTGCAACACCATGAGCTGAGGCAGACCTGGCGAGGTTGCTACACACTTATGTGGGCTATCCAGGCCCCTAGAAGGGCTCTGAGCAAGTCCCTTGCCCTCCTCTGGCCTCGGTCTCCATCAGTACTGTCAGTGGGCTGCATCAGATCAGTGGTTCTAAACTCATTCCGGGAGCTGGAGGCAGTCCGCCCTGAGGCCTCGGGCTGCTGGGAGGTGCCAGGACAGGGTATGGAGCGGACAGAGGAGCCGGGCAGGCAGGCCTTCTGCCCCCACGGCCCCTTCAACCGAACAGGCCTCTGCTTTCTGTTCTGTGTACTGTGCTGCTTCAGGAGGCCGTGCTGGAAGACACGGGCCCCTCGTGTCCTCTGCAGAGCACACATGCCCAGCCTGCAGCACACCTGCAGTGAAACTGTTGAAATGCAGATCTGTGATGCCAAAGGGTAACCACCCAAACTCAGACTCTTTATTCAGGGTTGCTATTCTCCGCTGAATTCAGCAGGGCAGTTACCAAGAGCGGCCACGTGCCAGGCACCTCAAGAGCTAGACAGGTGAGGTCGGCAGTGGCTGCCGATGACCAGGCTGCACTGGGAGCTGGGTATTCCACACGCATCTCAGTTACTCCTCCCTGCAGCTCGGGAGGTGTGGGCTCCTGCTGTCACCCTACTTCACAGATGGGGAGACTGAGGCTTTCAGAAGTTAGCTCTCTGAGGCATGGATCCTGGTTCTATCGCCCAGACATCTAACCACTATGCCTCCCAGCCTGCCTTCCTCCCGGGTGGCAGTGAAGGTCACAAGCGAGCAAAGTGCAGAAGGAGGCTGGCCTCCGTCTCCATCAAGCCTTGCCTCCTATGCCAAAGTCGATGTAAGAAACGTCCAAACCTGTAGAGAGTTTTTATAAGAGTTTATTTGAGCCAAACACGCTATCTGCCGGGGAGCACGATCTCAAATGCTCCGGAGAACAACAGTTTCACAGTTTCTCTTATGCATTTGGAATTAAGGAGGGAACGTAAGGAAGATGAGATGGAGGTGGGAGAGAGCAAGGTGGGGATTGGATTACAGGAGAGTTAACGGAGAGTTAATGAGACTGTGCGCTCTCCTGAGGGTGAATACCCCCTCTGAGGGGTGTTACTTCCAGTTTTTCAAAGGCATGTTAATCTAGAAGCCTGAGGACAATGGACAGAGCTGGTTTAAGACCTTTCACTAAAGAAGTTAGAAGCCTGGGGCGTGGCTGCCCACCACGACCTGCCCAGTTAGGGGTTTATGATCGGATCCCCCTGAGGTCACTTTCCGTAGAACCCCTTTTTTCATCCACACAAAAGTCTTAGGAACTGCAGTAGCATCAGAATCAATAGCCTGGACCTCACTATAATTTGCAAAGCGTGTTCCCATACGGGACTGCAGGTGTGGAAACTGAGGCTCAAAGGGGCAGAGTGCCTGGCCCGAGGTGGCCCTGCTAGGAAGCTGCAGCCGGAACTTGAACCCAGCCCTGCAGGTGTAAGGAAGTACACGGAAAGAGCATTGGCCCATCACAGAGCATTGGTTTTCATCCGGTGTAAGAGCCTTGCAGTCAGGGCTCTGATCTTACCTGTCGAAATGAATTTTCTTAAACTGCTGCTCTTAGACCCAATTGTGCCCTGACAGGGCCCAGGCCCAGTGGGGATGTGCGGTGACCGCGTGTCTCTCCTCTTGGCAGAGGGGGCATCCAAGATGGCGACATCATCGTCAAGGTCAACGGGCGCCCGTTGGCGGACTCGAGCGAGCTGCAGGAGGCCGTGCTGACCGAGTCCCCGTTGCTACTGGAGGTGCGGCGCGGGAATGACGACCTCCTGTTTAACATCGCGCCCGAGGTGGTCCTGTGATGGTGAGGCCACCTCCCCCCATCTCCGAGCACCAGAGCCTGCAGCCGAGGACAGGTGCCAGCCCAGTCGTTCCACCCGGAGTTGCTGCCTCCCTTGGAGTCAGGACGAAGGACCGCAGTCGGTCCTCAGCAGAGCCGGCGGCCCCCTCCCGGCTGTCCACAGTCTGGACTTGGCCAGGGGTCCGCGTCTCAGTGTTGGGAGCGTTGGCTCCTGCATCACAGTGCCCATGGGGGCAGCCCGCTGTCCCCTTTGTACAAAAGCTCCTGAGGGTCACCTTCCAAGTTCCCCGGATAATGTAAAATGATTCCGATACTTGAGAAGACTCCTCTATCGTGTCCGGAAGCCCACCCTCTCTCCCACCCCCCTGCCTTTGCACCTGATACCTCTGTCTGAAATGCCCTCCCTGCTCCTACCCCACCCTCCCCTCCCCGACTCACCTCAGGTCTCAGCTCCCAAGCCTCCCTGGCCCCCCAGGAAAAAGTGAGCAAGGCTGTCTGCCCCTGGAGGGCAGGCTACGTCTGACCCTTCAGGGACTCAGGTGTGGCGGGCCTGGCCCAGAGCGGGCACCAAGGGGTGTCCTCTGGCTGCCTAGCTGAGCCCTGCAGCTGGAGACGAGGTTCCCCTCCCCAGGAGGGGGTGAAGCTGGTGGGGAGCAACATGTGTCAACACCCTCTGGGCGGGCAGAGGAAGCTGGGACCTGCCAGGAGGAGGGGGCTGCAAGGACTGAGCCGCTTGGCCTTCTCTGTGCTGTTCTGTGTGGAGCAACCGACTCAGGGGACCGCCCCGTAGCAGCAAGAAGAACCCTCCTCTCAGCGGGGAGCAGTGCCTTTCGAGGTGTATCTGTGAGCTTCGCTTTACAGTCAACCCCCCATGTTGCTTATACTGTGTTTCTCTACTGTATGGAAATTAAAGTTTACAAGCACATGGTCCTTAGCCAGCAGGGGCATTTGGGGCACCCACCCCGCCGGCCACAGCTCCTCCTGGGACCCAGAGCTAACATCAGGAGGTGTGGGCATCACCCAGCCACTCAGGTCCCTGCTCCCCCACTTACTCCTAACTTCATGGTCTTGGGCAAGACACCTCCCCACTGCCTTGGCGTCTCCCCTTGTACAGGATGGATACTGAGACCACCGATCTTCTGGCGAGTGGGCAGAGCACTTGGAAAGGTGCCTGGTTGACAGTGAGTCCCCACCTTGCTGTGTGTGCCCAGCGGATGACAAAGCTTTCTCTGCATCTGCTCTGTGTCACCCTCACCAAAACCCAGCCAGCGATGGGGAAAAGAGGACAAGCCTTTGTACAGTGGGAAGGGGAGAGGCAGGTGCAGGTGGGCAGGGTCTGCCACCAGCTGGCCTCCGGGCAGCTGTGTGACCATGCCTGCTTTTCCGGGGGGTGGTGGGGTGAGTTCAGAGTGAACCGCAGAGCTGTGGGCCCTTCCGAGGTTTGAGAGCCTGCGACTCTACAGGTCCAGATGTAATGACCCCACCGTGAGGCTAATTTTAAGAGATGGTCTCAGGTAGCCATGGAGGCAGTCAGAATCCCATGTGGCACCTCGGAGGGACTCACAGGAGAACCCTGAAGACAGGCACACAGGCCGTTGGTGGCACCGGGTGTGGCCCGCTCTGCACTGCGGCCAGCCAGATGGGGGAAATTGGACCAAGAGCACCCAGCACCCACGCCCAGAAAAAGACCAGACAGTGTCGCAAGCAGCTTTTTAATGCAGGGGTGGTGATCTGGTTCACTGTTCCAATTTTGCAATCTTCCAGCTCAGATGATTCACGTGAACAGAGTACCCCTCCCACACCCAGTCCTAATCAGGCCCTGCTGTGGGGGGGAGGGGACTGGGCACAGAGGTGGCCCTGCAAGACGCCCTTCACCAGGCCATGGTGCCCACTGGCCTGCCTGCCCCCACCTCCCACTGCCAGTGTCTTCTAGAAAAGTCAGAGCCTGGCCAGGAGCCTGGTTCCCAACCCACCCCCATTCCTCCGCTCCTACCCAGTGTGGGTCAAACCCAACAGGCCTCATGGCGTCCCAACACCCCCACGCACACGCACACGCACACGCGCACACACACATACTTTTCCCCTGCCGACCTCCCATCTAGAGTAGTCCTAATGCCCAAAGTCCATCCACCCTCCCAGGCCACTGCTCTCACGCTCAGGCGGGCCCTCTGCTTTCCACACACACGAAGTGGCCCACAGAACATGGTCCCTGTTCCTCCATCTCTGGCCACCTGGACCAGGAGCCCAGAGGCCACGTGGCCCCACCTGAGAGGAGGGAGCCCGGGGACGCTGGGGCAGAGGTCCGGGATAAGGTCGCCTGTGTGGGCCATGAGCTGGGAGCAGGGCATGGAGAGTCAAGCTCTGAACTCGCCCAGGGCCAGGCCTCCACGAGGGACCTGGAAGTCCAAGATCAAGGTGGGGTCCATCCAGTTTCCGGCTCAGAGAGAGATGCCCCACCGCTGTGAGCTCACACTGCAGGGGGCTTCTTATCGGGGCAGCAGTCTCATTAGGGAGACCCCACCCCCATCTAACTCACTCACCTCCCAAAGACCCCAGCTCCAAGTACCATCACGCTGGGTTAAGGGCTTCAGCAGATGGATTTGGGGGAGGGGGACACAATCCAGTCCATAGCACGACACTGAGGCAGGGAGGAGAGAGAAGCCAATTGAGGGATGCGACATTGAGGTGGTGACCTCTGGGGCAACTGGGTGTAAAGCCCACTAGAGACCCTCTGAGAACTGTGCAGAGTGAGCTCAGAAGCGTCCCATGAGGCCTGGGAAACCGGAGGCATTCATGCACGGACCCCACCCTCCCTCATTCTCATTCTCGGGGCTGCCCTGCGTGAGGTTGAGCTACTGTCCCCAGGGCCGGAGAGGATCCTCAGGCCAAGGGGCAGAGGGACGCAGGCAGCGGAGGCAGCGCTGACGGTGAACCCAGAACTGTCCCACGCAGGTGCAGGTGACCTCAGAGGTGGTGGGGGCGTGGGCAGAGTACCCACAACCCCTGCTGTCCGGATCTTGAGAAATAGGCAGCAGAGGTATGTGGGAGCCCCAGCTCCTCCCCAGTAGATGCCCGTGGTTCACACATTTCCAGCATCTGGATGGGCAGGCCGGCTCCCGGCTCTGGGTGTTTCATGGAACCTTCTTTGCCCTGAGGTCTGGAGCGGTGGGGGGAGAAGGCAGATGCAGGGGCGGTGAGGGAGCGGGCAGCTGACACCCAACTTCTCTCTAAAGCCACAAGAAGGTTCCTGACAAGGTCTGGCCCCCAAAGTGCCCCAAAACATCGCTTCACATCCTCTCACTCCCTGCCGCCAGCCCCCGGGTGACTATGACCATCACCCCTCTAGCCTCAGGTTGTCTATGTGTGAAGCAGGAAGGTGGGGCGTGGGGGCGCGTCTCTGACCTCGGAGTGAGTGGGTCTGGGCGGTGATCTCGGCTCTGCCCCTCCCTGGCTGACCTCTGTCGGGGGCCTCAGCTCGGCCCTTCTGCATCCGGGGGGCCAGTGGTGGCCCCCTCAGCAGGAGGGACCCCTCGCCCAGTGCTGGGGCTGTGGGCTCACCCGCCCCACTGGCCCTGCCCCAGTGGAAGTGGCGTTCTGTGGTGTCCAGGGCCTCTGACCTCCAGCCACCCAGCCGGGCGGAGCTGTCCTCCAGCTGCTCTTCCAGCTGCGCTTGGCGAAAAACAACTTTTTCAGAGCCTGCCAGCTGCCACCATTGTGCAACCCTCCGGGTTCTTGACGCAACCCCCATCACAGGTCACCGTGTCCAAAAGCCCCATTGCACAGAGGAGGACACCGAGGTCAGAGAGAAGGACTTGGGGTCACACATGAGCTAGTGGCTGGCCTCCAGGCAACTAGGGCTGGGCTCCTGACTTCCCCTCAGGCTGGGCTGGAGCAGACAGCTGTGGCCACAGCTGCAGCAGGACAAACATCCACTGGCCAAGGGTATGGGGTGGGGTCGGGATCACCAGAAGAAGCAACTCCTGTGGGCAGCAGACCTGTGGGTCATCTCCCGTCCAGAGTCCCTTCCTGCCCCCTCTGGGTCCAATGGATCCAGAATACAGTGACCAAAGATGGAAATTCAGGAACGGGTCAGACTGGAGGGGAGCAGCAGGGGTGCCTGGCACTGTTCCCCGGCCTTGAGCAGCGCCTGGGGGAGCCTGGGGCTGGGGGCCTGCCTGCCAACACCTGCCCCACTCTGTGCCTATGCACCATGTCCTGCCTCCAGCCACCCCTCCTCTCGGCCCCGCAGGCAGCCCTGTGCTTGGTCCCCTTCACCAGGCATTTGGGGATCCGCTGCTGCTCTAGTCTCCCTTCTGTTCACGCCCCGCTCCAGCCCCCCGGCCTGTGTGCAAGCTACTCAGGTTCCCTGTGCCTGCTTCACTCCCAAGGACCATCCCCTCCATGGATGGGCCGAAAAACGGCCCTGAAGGTGTCCACATGGAACCTGGAACCTGTGAATGTCACCTCACATGACCAAAGGGACCTTGCAGCTGTAAGCAAGTCAAGGATCCTTGGGCTCTCCGGGTGGCCCCGTGTAACCACAGGGTCCTTATCAGAGGGAGGCAGGAGGGACAGAGGGGGAGGTGTGATGATGGAAGCAACAGGTTGAGTGACATGAAGAAGGGGCCGAAGGATGCAGGACTTCGTGAAGCTGAGAAAGTTATCTTCCTGAAGCTTTATCATTTTATATTTATTTGTCGATACACAACCCAACTGCGATTGACTTTTGCATGTAGCACGAGGGAGAGGTCAAGTTTTGCTTCTCCATCCGGACATGTGGGTATGTAATTGTCCCCTAAAGTAAACCATTTATTCAAAAGGCAATTCTTTCCTCCGTTGTCATCAACCAAGCTCCCATACATGTGTAGATCTGTTTTCAGCCACCTGGGGCCCTGTTGCTCTTTCTATCCTCGTCCCTTCGTTATTTAGCTTTATGAAGTATTTTGTTATTTAGTGCACTGAAACCATCTACATTGTACTCTTCCTTCAAGGGTGCTTAGCTGTTCCCGACGCTTTGCTTTTCCATGTATATTTTAAAATAAGTTTATCAAGCTCCGCCTCATGTGAATTTGGTTAGAATGGCATTGGGTATTCCTCTATTTATCTAAATTTTCATTAATTTCTCCCAATAATGTTGTATAGCTTTCTGTGTAAATTGCTTATATTTGATACTGCAAATGGTATCTTTTACTTTTTTTATTTCTAACTGTTGATAATATAGACTTCTTTTTATTATTTCTTCTTAATTTTTCATGATTTTTAAAATACTGGCCTTATATCCAGCAACCTTCCCTTGTTAATTCCAACAATAGATCTACAGGTTATTTTGGATTTTCTACATACTCAGTCACATCATCTATGAGTTTTATTTCTTCCTTTCCAATCCTAATACCATTTACTTCTTTTTCTTGCCTTATTGCAGTGGCTAAAGCCTCTAGTTCAATGTCGTGTAGAATTAACAATAACAGACATCTTAATCTTGTTCCTGATCTCAAAAGGAAAGCTTTCAACATTGCACCATTAAATATAATATTTGCTGTAGGTTTTTTGTAGTTACTCTTTATCAGTTTAAGAAAGTTCCCTTTTGGGCCGGCCAAGTGGCTCAGCTGGTTAAGAGCTTGCTTGGGAGCTCCAGCTCTGAGCAGCAGGGCCGCGGTTCGGATCCCACATTGAGGGCCAGTGACGCTGCGCCCTCTACAGTTAAGATGATGAACAACAACAGCTCAACCTAGAAATGGGCTGCTGTGAGCTACGTGAGTGGCTGGTAGCCAGCGTGAGCGGCCGGCAGCGGGTGAGAGCTGCCGTGAGCCACTATGAGCGGCCAACCAATGACCGGCGACCGATCTGCCTCACCCAGGAAGAGCACAATGATCATACCAACATAGGCCTGTGAAGCAACGTCCTCCACAACTAGACTGAAGAACAAAAACAGCA